AAGGCTGTGGAGAGAGCTAAAGCTGGCATAATAACTCCGCGGGTTGTTTTTGGTTCCTGCTTGTGCTTGACCCAAGTAGATCAGTTCAGCCCTATTCAGCGTATTTCCGTCATGTATTATAACGTAAGCATTGCAGGTAAAGAAAAACATGCTTCCTTAGGCCTCGGTGCCAAAGAAGCAGATTTTTATGATGGAAAGCTTTCAGTGACAGGTTGCTTTAATTTTTCTGTTACTTCAAAATAGTACTAGATTAATCTGAGGCAAAATTAAGAGGTTTCTCAGCTTAGATTTGGCAAAGGCCAAATTGGATTTAATTTGCTAGCTTTTGTATCTAAGTAGGTAATCAGATTTTAGTTTTTTCTTGAGACACCTCTTACATTGGCTGAAGCGTCTTTCCTTGCAGTTGGTGTGCAAAGGGAAATTAAAACTTCAGTCGCTGTTCTGCACGGTGCTCATTAGCTCACTTCTTATATTCTTTCAAGTGTCGCTAAGTTCATTTGCTCCCGTCAGCTGGCAGCATATATCACTTTACTGAGCCAATCTTTAACACAGGATATTGGTAAGTGCATATAGTTCTTCTAATGATTATCTGTAATGTCTTTAAACGTGCTGAAACACTATAAAAAGGAAGATAATATAAATGATTTTAAAAATCCTTAGAAAAGTTGGCTGCCCATCTCCCTGTTTCCCTTTCAGAAAAGCAGAGAGGAAGTGATATAACCTGACCATATTAGTCATTTAAAACAGTTAAGTTACTTCTTTTTGTTGTGACACTAAACATAGGAAAAGAAAAAGGGTGACTTTTGGAGGAGAGGAAGATAGGAAGCAAATTTCATTCCTTATTGCTCACCACAGCAGAAGCTGAATAAGCACTGACCTTGGACATGACTGTAGGTATTAAGTGATACACGTAACACTACAGCTACTTTCCACTCAACTTCCAGTCATGTGAGGACAATCCTGGACAAGGTTAGTAAGAATCTTTCCTTTACATAGTTTCCTTTACAAGTGTGGTAAAGATAATATCCAGGTGCATTACTTTCAGACGTGATCCTTGTGAAAATAGAAAATAACTCTGGCAGTAAGCTTTGACAACTCAGTTTTGCCTGAATTGGACTAGTGAGTTTGAAATGAAAACAGCACTGAAAACAGGCCTGGTCCTCTCCTATCTTGGTTGTGGAAGGGGTGAAACATATTAAAGAATTGTCTGATTAAGCACAGAACCCTATCAGGATAATGATCAAAGAAGGGCTCGAATATACATAGTAAGTGTAATTTGTAGGGCTTTTAAACAGCAGGTAGGCTGAATTAACCTGTGTTTGAGAGAACAGGGCGGGACCAAGGGTATCTGGACCCACTGTGCAGAGGTGGAGTAGTTCATATTCAGAACTTTGTCTAAGTCCCATAGGCTCAAAGCAGCAAAAATAATTCAGCTGAAAGAAGTTGAGTACCTGTGAGGAGCTGGGTCTTAACGTCGGAGTTTGCCATCTGCAGAATGGGGGGCAACCCTCCTCACCCCGCCCCTCTTTGCCTCTGCCTAGTGTCCGGGGGGGACCAGTATCCATCACTGTGGAGCCACGAACTTGACCTGGGGTGGGGGCAGCTGTGTGCCATAGTGTAATACAAACAACAATAGCAGGGCCAACTGAAACTCTAATCTCCCCTTTTTAATTGGCATCTTAAAGTATTAAGGATACCAAGAGACAAAAAACAATAGGCTGTGGAGGTTGCACAACTGAAATCCCCTTTCTGACCATTCACAGTGCCTTTTAAGGACCAGGGTATAGTCTAACACTACCTCTGAATACAAAGAAACCTGGCAGGCAGTCCAGAAGGGATAATACATGAAGAGAAAGTTGTTCCTCAGGCTTGAGAGTCACACAGAGGCAGGTTGATTGTGATTTTGATGTAGCCATGTGTTGCCCACCACTGGAGTGTGGCTAGTGACATGGGAAACGAAAGAGAACAGAAAAGCAGAAATATCCAAGCCAAGCCCCCAGAGTCAGCCATAAATGACTATACTGAGAGGAAAACTTAGCTTTCTCTTTAGGTAAAACCCAGGGAGCCCACTACTCCCAGAAAGATGTCCTCATCCATCTGAACTGATGTCTTTATTCCTGTTTAAATCCCCAGGAATAATCCATCAGCAACACCAGCTTCAGCTTACCCATTAAATCCTATCTGGAATTTAGTGATCAGCATGCCAGGAGAACCATGAACTTCAGTCTCGCTACAGGGCAAAAGAATAATATATTAACAATTTTTTCAAGTTGTTAAACTGTGCCCTGCAAATAGGCCATTTCTCCTTCTTCCTATTCAATACCTCTCACATCTTACTAGAGCTAACTACGCAAAAAAAAAAAAATTGGATGTGTAACACTAGCTGACCAAATGTTGGTGAAACATGTCAGATCACAATGCCATTCCATTTTAAGGGAAGTGAAAGGAAATTTCCTTTTTGCATAAGAGATTTTTATACTTCCCCATCATAAATTCAGATGAGACATCAACTCCACCTTTAGTACCACATGTGTTTCTGGTTTTGAATCAAAATAATACATTCAAGATAAAGATGGTTAATGGATGAAATCACAGTTGAATTGAACTCATTTAGCTATTCTGGTTATTCACTGAACATCTCTATCATGTTCATTACCATAATATTTATGCCTGTTGATATTCCCCCAGGGCACATATATTGATACAAACAAAGGTATGTTTTGTGGGGAGCCGTGAAATAAAATGCAACTAAAGTTGCTTTAAGCCTACAGCCCCTGGCCTATGTTCTTTGTGCTTGTGTTTGCCCTTAGGCCATTATGTGGAGATTGGTGGGGTTTCCAACTTTCCAGCTTTTTGACGCTTCAGGACTTGCATGCCAGCACAAGAACTTTGAAGCTCCTTCCAGCAGAGACACATCTTCATAAGCTAAATGAGGAAGAAAGAGAATTTTAACCATAAACGTGGTTTAGAGAGCCTATAACTTAACCAGTTCCATTTTGTATATGTACTTTCTTTTCTTGTACAGGAGTGTAGCCTGTTTTACTCCAAAAGGTTTTGTCTCCCCTGTGTGAATGACAACCTGAAGGGTTTTCCTTTGGAAATACAAGACGATATGGATAAAAGGAAGACCCAAGCAAAATCCTTCCCCTCTAAAAAAATGGATGCAAGGACTTAAAATACTGAGGACCAAGACAGTGTTTTGGCTGGGGTTTCGCCTCTCCTTTTCCAGACTATCATGTTGCTCCTGTTAAAGAAGCGACCTTCATCAGCTCGCTACTACAGAAAACAGTAACACATTTCCTTACGTTTGGCTTGGCTTCAAGCATCATCATGCAGCAGTTGCAGTGCCAGCAGTATGGCCTTAAGGTGTTGAAAAGCCAGAAAGAAAGGCAGACAAGTCTGTTGTCACCACATTAAACACATGTAGTAAAAAAATCAAACAGCTTAAAGCATAGGAAATGCATCCAAATTTCACATTTGTTTAATAATGTTTTGCATTGTTCTTGACGCTCCTACAGTGTTAGGAAAAGCAGAGACAGATTTATCTGGCTTCATTCAGCACATGTCCACAGAAGTCAGTATACACCATTGTTAACCAGAGAGTGTGGTCTAAATAAGATTACAGTAAGCAAGGAACTCAGTTTTATTTTTTCAATGTAAAATAAGCCTGTCACAAGAAAATGTCATAGATACCCTTAGAAATGTCTAGATTTTTGAAGGTCATAATCTCAGTACTAGCACCCTTTTAAGACTTCTGAAGGTAAGTGTTTTTATAATGAAATGCCAGCTGATACTTACAAGTGCGCAATCACTTTCCACTCAGACTTCTAGTCCATGCCAGGATAGAATGGGAGTGGTTAGGGACCTTTATTACATCTACTTTAGGCTTTGCAAGTGAAAATGACTTCCTTTTCACTTTCACATCAGATAATCTGGAAATAGAAAAATTCAGCTAATAAGCTCAACTCTTTCCTGCAGTGTGCAATTAAACTGCAACAAGAGTAGGGATCCAAGAAACACAGTTTTGGTTGCAAAGGGGTTAAAAGATGTTAAGGAAAAAGCGATTGGTTAGCTCAAATATTAGCTTCATGATTATGTATGTTGACTTTATCTTAGTTACAAGGAAGAGTTGTAGGGGATCTGTGTAACATGACTTAGTCACACACTTTTAAGGCTATATCTGCAATGGTCTCTAATCACCAGCTCGCATCATTTAGTCGAGCATGTGTTGGTCATTGGTTGAGACCGTGTTAATGCCTTGGTTAATATCTCCTGTTTTCTCAGCTCTTCTCTCTATATGAGTTATCATATGTTAACTTGTGAAGTTAATGATTTCAGCAGAGTGACTGTTTGTTAAAAGAAACCAACATAACTTCAGTGAGTTATTTAGGGCAAGAATAAATCTTTCATTTTCTTTTTATCAGACCCAGCAGAGTGGTGGTTTCAGTTGATGACTGGGAGGTCTAGCAGTTACTAGAAGAGCAATAATGAACCTGTTAGTGCCCGTCTCAATCTCTTAAATGTTTGAGGACAGACAATATATATGTGGCCTAATTGTCTTAAAAAAAAAAAAAATCAAACTTAGGATTTCAGATTTCTTTCTGCAGTAACAAAGGTTTTCCCTTTAAAATAAAGTGATATTAAATTTATTTAAAATGGGTTGTATTAAATTTCAGTTTCAGGATAGACACCAAAAAAAAAAAAAAAAAACGTACTTTAGAAGTTGTAGTGTAGCTATCCTGTACAAATAACAAAGGCATATCATCTTACACGTTAAAAAAAACAAACAAACAAACCACAATTGGTCATTATAGTCAAGTTGACCAAAAAGCAACATAGTTATATGAGAGTACATAGTATGCTTTTGCCAGTGTATCTCTTTCTAAAAGTTTTTCTTTCTTTTATTTCACAGTGTTGGTAACAGGGTCTATAGTGATGCTTTGCTTGGAAGTAGGTTTTCAAAAACCTTGCTAACAAACAGTTTCATAGCTAAATGGGAGTGCACCTTTGGGTTGCATGACATGCAAGCATGTCCCCAGACTGGGAGATGCACCCACTCCTCTGCTGGTTAGGACCTGCAATCCCTTAGCTGTCTTCCTAAGGTTCCTTTCAACCTTATCTGTGCCCTTCAAAAGGTGCAGTTAATGCATTTATTCATAGCCATTATAGTTGTCCTTACAACTTGGGGGAGAAGCTGTAACTACATGGTTTGAGCCATTACAGTTTGTTTATTTAAGAGTACAATAGAAAAGGCCAAGGAAGAGGAGTGCTTCATAGTTACCTGGTTACTCATAGCTTTTAGGTAAAGCAAAGCTTGCTTTCAGCATGGCCCACAAAATGGTTCAGGAGCCTGAGGGTATGCTTAAAGCCCAACTTGGTCTGATTTGGTCTGGCACTTTCATGTTTTAGGGAAAAAAAAAAACAACTGAGCTACATGTAAATTGGTATTTCCTATAATGACAAAGAATTATGTAAAACTTTTTAACCTTCCTTAGACCTGACTTAAAACACGTGTATACAGCATTCTCATAATCAGTGTTGAAGATGGCATTATGATCCCTCTATCCTAATACACTGTTAGAAATATTAGCAAATATATGAGTGCAGACCAAAAGCCATCATGCCTATGCTTTTCAGGCTATGTTGGGCCTTTACAGTTTGAGTTCATCAGGCTCCTTGAATACTTTGTTGCCTCTCAAGCTGGTCATACATGGGAGGACACAGCAGCATAGTAAGTCAACAGACATAACTAACAACTGATGAAATATTTACATATATATATATATATATGCACATACACACACATTCCTAACTTAAGTTAATCTACAAGGATCAACACTTTGAAGAGCCTCCAAATTATTTTTGTACCTTTAAAAGACACACACATCTTATTACATAGTAGGCATGTTTAATACAATTTCTTTACAGCTATTTGATACTAACCCAAAAGATGTGGGCACCAGTCTCCCTCAAGCTTGCTTATCCACTCTTGTTCACCACTAAAATCGGTACAAATACTCCCTATGCGATGTTAAGCAGCTGCGTGTTTTCTGAAGCAGGGCCTTATATGTCAAATAGTTGGTGACGGCAAAATCATTCCAGTGGAATGGAGAGAAACACACATTCATTTCCCTGGTACTGTGGCAGAAGGAGTGATGGGTGTCACCTTTCCCCCGTGCACCACCTTCCTCCACTCCCCGGCTCCTGATTCTACAAACATTTACACAAATTATCAGTTGAGAATGTAAGTGGTTGTCTGAGAGTTTCATGGACATAAAAGTTATTCATGCATGCCCACTCATTGAAAGAGGGATTCAGTTAAGACTGGGCAGCTGCTTCAGATAAAGTGCAAGAGGCAGCCAGCACAGGGTAACAAGTATGTTTGTCTCAAAAACACAAGCCGTTACCATGAATTATTTTCCTGGAAGTAAAAGATGAGCACAACTCATTAAACTTGCTTTAAAAATACTTTATTTTTTTTTTAAACCATTAAGGCAAAACCATATTTGAAATTAACCATCTTTACATTCAGTCTTACAGGATGACTTCTTTTTAAGCACATAGATTCCTGCCAGTCTGTATACAAACACCTATGAATTCTACCTCTTATTTTTAAAGGAGAGGAAGTTCAAGTTCTTTTTCATTCTAGATCAGTAGACTGGCAACATTGGAGAACTCACTATCATATTTAGCAATATATAATTTTTACATTCACAAGTGCAAGAGACTGTCTTTCCTATAAATCTCTGTGAGACGACGACTTCCATTCTTTCTTGAAGATGTCATTTGTATTGTTCTGACTGAAAGAAATCTGGGAACGTAGATTGAATCAGTGGTATTTATACTGCAAAACAAACATTCCATGCGAATTAGGTTTGACTACTCCCTGCAAGAAATGGCTGCTCCTCACAAGTTTGATATTTAATATAGTAAAAGGCACGCAAGAAACATCATTAAAAAATTAGGTGACTGGAAACAATGATCTGATGTTTTCTTCTCTTTAATATTGGTATTTTGATGTAATTAAACACTTGTCCATAGATTAGGGCTTGGCAACACTAACAAAAATACGCTTTTTTTGTGTCACAGCAGATAACAGACAATTTAAGACATGATAAAAGGTTTCAACATCATGATGTAATTAAAATGCTGTATAGCACTCCTACAGAAAATTCAGAGCAATTGTTTGTAAAAGCTGTAAAACAAACAGCAGGAACAACATGAAACATAGGCCATTTGTAAAGTTGATAAAATGGGCTTTGTCAAGCCATAACAGGATCTTTATTTTGTTAAAAATCAGTAATACTAGAGCTTTGACTAGCTTTGTTATTACTAAAGAAATAACTACAGCCATAAATGTTGTTCCCACTTCTGAAAGCAGAGCAAAATATTTGTGGATACAGAGATGGAGGCATGGCTTCACATACCCACCCACTCCATGGGCTTCATTTCTCGGGGGAGCAGGATGAATGATTTCATCTGAAGGCGATTTCTCCCGTTATCCACAAGACATGACACTGGCAGATGAAAATAGCAATCTACTCAGGAAAGGTCTGCCAAATGGAGCTGCTGGTGAGCACTAGTAGATATATGCCAGAATATGTGCACAGCCTCACCAACAGCTCTGAAGTGTGCTGCAGTGCTAACAGGAAGGGCAAAGGCACTGTGCCTCTGTGAAGGCAACCCTAAGCTACCATGTGGCAAAATATACCTATACTACCTGAATGTGCCAGAGGTAAAGTTGATTTGACCTGCATTCTGCATGGTTATTTGCATATGAATCATCCAACAATTTTGCTACATTAATCTCACAATCCCTGTTGCACATCAAACAGATTTTGAATGTTTATACTGCACTTCTATGCTATGAAATACAGCATAATATTTGCATGATGGCAGTATTTTGGCTGGTCAGTATTTTCCCATACCAACAATATTTCTTTCAAGTGTAAAGAATGCCACGTAACTTTTTCCACTGATCATAAGGCTGGCACTTTTCCACCACAGGGACTCCAGTACATGTATATCCAACCTGAGAAAATACACCAAAATACTTTTAAGTTCCTTATGCCGGATCTTGCAGCTCTTATTTAAGGCCCAGCCTACATCCCTGTCCTTCTGGCAAAGGCAACTCATTTGCAATTTAGGTCCTTGCAGTAGGAACACTGTGCTGAAACGTATTTCCCTGCTGAAACATATTTCCCTGCAGTGGAATCTGACAAGACAGAGTAACACAATAAAGGTTAAGTAGTTCAGGACAAAACAGCTTTAGAAGCTGGAAAAGCTTAAAAGAAAGAAAGAAAAAAACCACCAGAATTGGGGGGGGGGGGGAGGGGGGGGGGGGAAGAGGAAACACCCTTGTCCTGGGATGGGTTTTGTTAACAATTTATATCACATTTACAATATAAAGTGACATAGCTGATGGCATCTTTTACAGTTTTTTCACTGTTGCATATGAAATTCAGAAAAGATGATCTATAGGTTACCACAAGAAAGTCCAGTATAGCTTTTATAAATTTGACAAAATGATTTTAGAAAACTGATACAGCGTAGCTGTATGATGACAACTATCAAATGAAATTTTTGAGTTGGAGCAATTTTGGAAAGTACGATTTCATCTGTTACAAATCAATTGCAATGAATACAAATCATTGCTGGAACATTTGTAATATGCTGTGCTTGTACTAGATGCTTTATTTTGAATATAGCAAAATAAAAGTTATACCTTAAAAAGGTAATGCACTTTACTCCTGCATCAGGATTCATTAGCAAGGGTGTTGTATGCACAGACAGTCACACCTGAATCACAGGACACAGAATCCCTATGGACAGATTCTGAATTCAACTATACTTAAAAATTATAAAGGGAAAACTCCTATAGAAAAAGAAAACTTAAAACTTGTGTATATTTTGTTTTGCACTGCCAAATTACGTATTTTAAAATACATTTATAAAAACTACAGATCAATCTCACTGCAGGTAGCAGGAAATAATTATGTGTACACTATTTGTATTTCTAGTAAGCCATAAATCTTTTTCTCAGAAAATAACTGCATATGAAGTACTAACAGACTCTAGTTCGGCTTAGTGTCTTAGCTCTTCAGGCTTTTAAGTAAAAGGAAGTACTATGCTGTAAAGCAAAGATGAACTTTGCTCTATAGTCTACCTTTCATATTGGGGAACTTGAGCTAAAACCTTAATAATATTAACTCTAAATATTTTAGAATTACAGCTCTTTCAGACCTAGACTTACTTTTATTAAAATGAAATAAAAGGAAGTCTGTGTTTTAGGTGAAAATATATTTAAAAAAATTTGGTTACAATTGTCAATGCCAAATACTAGTAAGTTGCAGAATTTGTGATACTTCTTCACAAATGATACAGTAATAAAGACCAGAGAGGAATAAATAGTAGTTTGTCTTTAACTTCAGGCCTATCATCCTTACCCATAAGACTAAATCTTTCCTCACTACACAAAGGGTTCACCAGATAAAGTATGAAACATAAGTATTTAAATTAAATAATTTATATACTTTTCTTAAAACATCTTTGTAATATAATTTAGTGAAAGTTTATACCTTGCAATTATATTCTTGTATTTTACAAATTGAAACGTGAAGAAACGGTATTACATTAAAAAACCCACAATACAGAATATCAATAATCTCAGATCAAACCCACATATAATTTAAATGTCTAGCTTCAAAAGAAGGATGATAAAGCTAACTAAACATAGATAAAAAAAAATTATATGCAGCCAATATCAAGAAAATATTTGAGATACAAGCAAGCACCAGATACCATGCTATATACTTTTGAAGGGATTAGAGATTTCAATGAAGGACCATTATTTGTAAGATCTTATGCTTAGGTAATACCACAACAGCTGCAAATGCATTTGTTAAATGTAGTTGCAGATTTTCAACGAAAAAACTTGGATGCTTTTAAGGAGAGAAGGAGCTGAAATTGTTCCTCTTCAGAGACCGTAAAGGCAGCTACAGAGTAGTCTTCTCCAATTGCTTTGTTTAAGATGGTGTGTAAATTGCCCAGACTTTCCATTAGAAATAAGGAGGAAATTCAGACTTAACAGAATGTACCCAGCTCTGCGATGAGTAAATCTCCAAAGTTTTAGCAGTTTGAAGAAACAAACAAATGTTTAGATGCTTATTATAAGCTCTTCGATTTGCAAACTTGTGCTAGCCCTCTCATGAGAACAGACTTAGTGCAACTGCTGGTATTTCCTAAATCTGTCCGGGCCAGAAATAAATACAAAAATATGCTCTTTGGCAGTATGTCAGCTTTCTAGCAGCTGGTTGGAACCAAAGCACAAAGGCACATGGAAATGGAAATTAAATGAAAAAGAAGATTTCTTCAAATACCAAGAAAGGTTCAATTTGTGTAAATGGCAAACATTACTAACTATGCCTGTAATTTTGTGACTAAAATAAAAGTGGGCTTCTTAAATTTAACAGGTGCAATGTAACTGATTTTTTAAATGACAGTGGTGTGCTGTTACACTGAAGACAGTACACCTTTAAACAAATTATTAAAGAGAGAGATGCAAATGAACACCAGATTTCCCTAATACACGATACAGAGCCTTCCTTCCCCCCCATCCCTTTTGTCAAGACACCTAGGCTATCCCAGCAAATCAAATAAACTCCTCAATAATGAATGGGCTATAGGCTCACTGAAACTATTAAGTTGTACCATTGTTTCCTAGGATTTTTCTCTATCCTTCTGCTGTCTCTTGGCTTAAGCTGTTTGTGGGCTTGCGATCTCTAACCAGGGTTCTTCGGTGCTATTAATAATAAAAATAAATAAGTAAATAAGAATCAGATCAAAATTATACATAACAAGTCAGTAAATCTATTTAAAAAAAAAAAAAAAAACTCCCAAAACTCTGATCATCCCCTCTCCAGTCACAGAACTGATATTTTAAAATATTATATGGTCTATGCAAGGTGGAGATGCTGAAGGTTCCTCAGTAATATATCTCAAACTTGTCAGACTCCAAACTTCCAAAGAACTAACATAAATTGAGTCATTTTGAAATCTCATTGGCAAATGCCTACTGCAGTCATCTACTGAGGTAGTTAACATACTTTATTAAAAGTGTAACGTTGAAATTAAGAACTTTTTTCACACATTAAAATTCAGGAAGTGAATCGTCTGTCCTGTGTTATTCTTTGAAGATACTGTGGATACGTGCACAGTGCAACAGCATGGATAGCGGTATCTATCCAGAGTTTTAGGCTATGCTAACATCTTGTTCACGTTTCTATAATTCATACATGTGTTTTGACATATATTTAAAGGCCTGTGATTGCATTTAAAATAGAAATAAAATTCTAGTGTCTGAGGAACTATTCAAAAATGCTAGCCGATTTTCAAATAATGAAACAAAATGGGTCTGGAACAGGAAAACGCAAATTATGCACTTTCCTAGTGCTTATAATAGGAACCGGCAACAAGCAGCTGCTTAAAGTTATGCTTTTCACTGAAAATTGCTGTTTTCAATTGTGCAAGCTTTGCCAAATTTAAATATTTGCTATTAAATTTTCTACATTTCTGAAAAGTTTCAGTGAAGTGTTATAGCCACTTGAGCGAGCAAGAACAGGGAAAATGCATTTTGTCCACACTAACTTTGTCTAATTTTTCCAAGAAACTTTAGTACATCCGAACTATGGAACAGAATTTTAAAATTTGTCTTTTGCATGCATCTGAGCTGCGGAAAAAACTACAGCTTTTACTTTTTCAGAATAAACGTAAAACTACTGGAGTCTCCAAAGTTAGAATTTACACTACCCGCAGCTGCAGTGATCATGCTTGATCACTACGCTCTTC